ACCATCAATTGCTAATATAGTAGAGTGTTCAACGAAGTCTTGACAATTATAGCTTCTAATTTGGCATCTTATAAAAAAACTTGAAGGCCAATTATCCTAATCGAATTTATATATTTATTTAAAAAACTGAAGCCAGTTCGTTCAAAGTGAGAAATTTATTCAAAACTTGACAGATAATGTTTCATTAAATTTTCAACATTGGTGATAGCACTTGTGCTCATAGACTTAAACTATTTTTCGTTTTTTGATGGCATTTTTCCTGACAAAAGCCGAAAGGATACCACTAGCTAAACAAAGATCGACTTTACATGAAAATATCCATCGCCCCCGTTTCACTACTAACCTGCTTAAGTAAAATTTAAGAATGATTAATGTCTGTTAGAATTGGCTCCTTTTTTGAAAAACATAATCTATTCTACGACAAACAGTTCTGTTTTCTTGCGGAAAATGTAAGACAACTGATGCTCTGACAGAAGTCAATGAGAGGACCCTTCCGGAAGTTTTTTTTTAAAAAAGGCAATTTTTTTCTGGAATACATTTCACGTATTAAAATGAAAAAATTTTAAGCAAAAATTTTTCACATAATAAAAGTTTTTACTCAAAAAATTAAAATCTTGTGGGCTACGGGCAAAGACATTAATTAGGCTTAAAGGCTTAAGAGTTTATAGGAAAAAGAAACGAAAAAAGGGAAATAACCAACGTCCATTCAAACTGGCGCTCAGTTATTTTAGGATCCTCATAGGGCTCAATACTTGGTCAGCTTTTATTGTTCCTACTTTCGATACGAAAGTAACGGAGTATTTGTGCTCGGTGTGGGTTTTTTTTTCTTCAGACAAATTTTGACTTTTTAACTAGCAATTTTTGACGGAATTATTTTTTATCATTCAAAAGTTTTTGTTGTCTTGAGCTTAAATTTGAAAAGATATTTCACCTGCGATCATTTTTCGTAACATTATGGGGGTTTAAGATAGCCATTTTGGCCAATTTGGGACAATTAACGCGCGATATATTGCGCGCTATTAACGCGTAAGCGGAAATTTAATCCGTCATAGAAATCGTTTTAAATTGGTTAAAAGAAGCTTATTTGCCATAATTGATTTGTAACAAGAAGCGAAATTTATCCTTTTGTACTTTATATGGCGTGTGGGGTGATGATTTTCATGAAAAATTTCAAATTTTAGAAAAAAAAAATCATTTTATTTTATTACATTTAATTTTTTATTGCTTATTATTGCTCCGTAAACATTAAAAGGCAGTCGGAACATTCAGGGCTTTGCCCTGATACGAGCAGTCTTGTTCCTAATTTATTTTAATGATATGCAAAATGCCCGTAAACAAACAAAGTGCGTCATAATTGAACAGTAAACAAAACAAGACTGCTCGTATCAGGGCGATGCCCTGAATGTTCCGACTGCCTTTTAAGGTTTTGTGGAGCAGTAATAACATTAAAAAGTTTAATGTAATAAAACAAAATGACATTTTTTTCTCTAAAATTTGTCTTTTTTAATAAAAATCATCCCCCCACACGCCATTTAAAGTACAAAAGGATAGATTTCGCTCCTGTAACAAATCAATTATGGTAAATAAGCTTCTTTCAACCAATTTGGAACAATTTTAAGACGGATTAACTCTCCGCTCACGCGTTAATAGCGCGAACTATATTGCGCGTTAATTGTCCCGAATTGGCCAAAATGGCAATCTTTAAACCCCCATAAATTTATGAAAAATGGTCACAGGTGAAACATCTTTTCAAATTTGAGCTCAAGACAACAATACTTTTTTAATGATATTTTAAAAAAATTCCGTCAAAAAAGGCTAGTTATAATGTCGAAATTTGTCTGAAGAAAAAAAACGCACCCCGAGCACAAATATTCCGTTAATTTCGTATCGAATATCGAAACAACAAGACTCGTATCAAGAAGAAACCTTGAAAGTTTCGATTGCCTTCTAAGGTTAACGGAGCAGTAATAAAATAAAACAGAGATATTTTAAGATTGTCTTTTTTGAATGTTGTAAAACGAAAAATATCTCTTTTACCTAAAAAACTTATTCAGTTAAGTAAATTTATGCTGCAATTTAATGCTAGTACTGCATTCAAAAACATAAGAGAAGTTAATTCTGAAAGTGTTGACTGCTATGTACCTATAAAAAGACAAAAAAATTGTTTAGTTTACCAGTTAAAAATCTCAGAACAAAGAATGTTACTTCCATAAAAAAAATCAATTGCTAAAATAGTAGAATTTTCAACGAAATCTTGACAATTATAGCTTCTAATTTGGCATCTTATAAAAAAAACTTGAAGGCCAAATATCGTAATTGAATTTATATATTTAATTTATAAACTGAAGCCAGTTCGTTCAAAGTGAGAAGTTTATTCAAAACTTGACAGATAATTAAAATCTTGTGGGCTACGGGCAAAGACATTAATTAGGCTTAAAGGCTTAAGAGTTTATAGGAGAAATGAAAAAAGGGAAATAACCAACGTCTATTCAAATTGGCGCTAAGTTATTTTAGGATCCTCATAGGGCTCAATACTTGGTCCGCTTTTATTGTTCCTACTTTCGATACGAAAGTAACGGAATATTTGTGCTCGGTGTGGGTTTTTTTTTCTTCAGACAAAATTCGACTTTTTAACTAGCCATTTTTGACAAAAGTTTTTTATATCATTCAAAAGGTTTCATTGTCTTGAGCTTAAATTTGAAAAGATATTTCACCTGCAATCATTTTTCGTAAGATTATGGGGGCTTAAGATAGCCATTGCGGCCAATTTGGGACAATTAACGCGCGATATATTGCGCGCCATTAACGCGTAAGCGGAGATTTAATCCGTCTTAGAAATCATTTTAAATTGGTTAAAAGAAACTTATTTGCCATAATTGATTCGTAACAAGAAGCGAAATCTATCCTTTTGTACTTTATATGGCGTGTGGGGGGATGATTTTCATGAAAAATTTCAAATTTTAGAAAAAAAAATGCATTTTATTTTATTACATATATTTTTTTATTGTTTTTTTTTGGTCCATAAACATTAAAAGGCAGTCCGAACATTCAGCGCTTTGCCCTGATACGAGCAGTCTTGTTCCTAATTTGTTTTAATGATATGCAAAATGCCCGTAAACATACAAAATGCATCATAATTGAACAGTAAACAATAAAAAACTGCTCGTATCAGGGCGATGCCCTGAATGTTCCGACTGCCTTTTAAGGTTTTGTGGAGCAGTAAAAACAATAAAAAGCTTAATGTAATAAAACAAAAAGACATTTTTTTCTCTAAAATTTGAATTTTTTAATAAAAATCATCCCCCCACACGCCATATAAAGTACAAAAGGATAGATTTCGCTCCTGTAACAAATCAATTATGGTAAATAAGCTTCTTTAAACCAATTTGGAACGATTAAATCTCCGCTCACGCGTTAATAGCGCGAAATATATTGCGCGTTAATTGTCCCAAATTGGCCAAAATGGCAATCTTTAAACCCCCATTACTTTATGAAAAATGGTCACAGGTGAAACATCTTTTCAAATTTGAGCTCAGGACAACAATACTTTTTTAATGATATAATTAAATTCCGTCAAAAATGGCTAGTTAAAAAGTCGAAATTTGTCTGAAGAAAAAAAACGCAACCCGAGCACAACTATTCCGTCACTTTCGTATCGAAAATCGGAACAAAAAAATCCAATTTTTTGAGCCTAAACATTTGATCAAATGCAAGAGCGTACAAATTGTTATAGGAAACAGCTCTTCCAGTCAGTTTGAAATTGAAAATTTTACGCCTGGAATTCAACCACTCTGTAAATTTCTAAACTTTTAAAAAAAGATTCCAAATTATGAATTCAAATACTTGCTGGTCGGTGTGGTATAATTTTTAACCATCGTCTTTTTATTCCAATGAATCAGTTGATTATCTAGTAAAAACCAATGTTAAACCATTTATTCAATATTAACATCTCACTTATAATTGCTTTAGATACCATTACTTAACCAAATTTCAATAAAAAATTCAATGAAATAAAACAAAATAAAAAAAAAGTTTTTTTCGAAAATTTGAATTTTTTTAAATGAAAATCATCCCCCCACGCGCCATATAAAGTACAAAAGGATGGATTTCGCTCCTTGCAACAAACCAATTATGGCAGATAAGCTTCTTTTGACCAATTAGGAACGATTTCTATGATGGATTAACTCTCCGTTTACGCGTTAATAGCGCGAAATATATCGCGCGTTAATTGTCCCAAATTGGCCAAAATGGCAATCTTTGAACCCCCGTAACTTTACGAAAAATGATCACAGGTTAAATATCTTTTCAAATTTGAGCTCAAGACAACAATAGCTTTCGAATGATATAAAAAAATTTCGTCAAAAATGGCTAGTTAAAAAGTTGAAAGGTGTATGATGAAAAACAAACCCACCCCGAGCACAAATATTCCGTTACTTTCGTATCGAAAGTCGGAACAATTAGGGTACAGTCTAAGGTGTACCCAATGAAAGGTGGAGGATTGGGCGGAAACAAAGAGGTGGCCAGAAGATGGAGAAAAATTTTGACTGTGTTTTTCAATTTATACTATCATAATGTTCTTCTTTTATAAGAAAATGTTAGTCTAGTAGTAACATTATCAACAATTTTGCGCAATTTTCTAAATCAAATTTAAAAATGGTCTGCTAAAATAAAAAAAATAATTTTGCTTTAAGAACTTCATTTTCTCTAAAAAACATTGGCCTATAAATTGTCTGAAAAGCGTAGTTTATACGTTTTTTTTTTAATTTTGAAAATTTGTTTATAATGTGTAAATACTAATCAGCATACAAATGAAGCATAAAATTAATTTAAATTAATCTGAGTCGGCTTAAATGGATCATACTTCAACTCCTCTTTTGGGTTTAACCTTTTTCTTGCCTAAATTGATCTTAAACCATCTTCTTAGTGCGAGTAACTCAAACACTACTTAAAACAATATAAAAGGATAAAAAACTTAAGGGTTTTGTCGTGATATGATTTTTTTGGTATAATAAGTAGGCTTAGTGTGGAGTTTTAGTTAATTTGTTTGAGAATTACAATCTTTACATCATTGACTATGACGAATTAAAACAAATTTAAGAACTCATGTTTTGTTGAATATTTGAGTACAACCTAATGAAAATGAGAGTTGCTAGTGCTACTACTGCCAGGACGAGTAAACAGGCAATCACGATTCCCGCCACTGAGACGAAAGTACACATGTCATGATCGCCTGTCTGCTTCATGCCCTCAATTGCGACCAGAGCTGTGATATAGACTGGGTCTGAAATTGAAAGTTTAATTGGTGGGACACCAAAGTTTCATGACAGTTTCAAATAAGCTGATGGCCAAAAAAAGGTAGGCTGTTTTTACGCTCCTCCCGCTATGCAAGTTTTAGATCAAATTAACACTTTTTCAAAGCATCTTTCCGAAGGGCTGAATGTTAACTTGATTTTAACTTTTGGTCTTTTCAGCCAGTCACAACGAAGTATTTTTCACGCGCAGAGCTCAGCAAACTTATTCTAAATTAAAAACTGGAATGCAAGATCTCATTGATCCATCTACTCATTTTTTTCAACATTTTCCATAAAATACCTACAAACTTTTTTTTCTCAAAATTTTTTCTGTGACGCATAAAAAATGGTCTTTTAAATGTTCAGCTGTCGATTTGATTACCAAAGGGCAGGTTTTTTTATCAAGATGTATTTCTCATGGCAATTGGCACGGGGGGATGGGGGCGTTGTTTTTGAAAAGTTTGTCGACCTTTTTTATGTCAGCCAATTCGAAATTTGTACTCCTACTCTGCCAAAACCCTTCAATGACCTTACTTTGCAAGACTACGGATTAATCAAAACCACAATTTTTGATTAATCAAAAGGTAATTAATCATTTTTTTAGTAATCATAGAAGATTGTATGGCAAGTCCATGATAACTTATAGCTATGTTCTGTAGTAAGGTAACCTATATAGTGCGGTTGTTTACACCGAATGTCACTTATACATTGATTGATCTAACCCCGTTGTTCCAGCGTGTCTCATGTCACGTATTGAATTAAAGTTTTATTTTTACGGTCGTTTTGTTACCATAGGCCCTGGGTGCGAACTTAGTTCCACTGATGTACCTGCTAAGTCGCCCGCCTCTGAGTTGGACTGCATCAAGTTCATCACAGTCCACTCAGGGTTGGAGCAGAGGGACATGAAGGCGGCGTGCTGCTTTCGCACCGCCATCCACGCTATACTGTCCTCCCCTAAACTACAACACTGCTCAACAAAATTGCATAAATCAAGATCTATGAGATGTTGTGATTTTCAGACCCTTAACTTTTACGTCACTCAAAATAATATTCTGAGCCTTCTTGTCATATTTTAAGAAAATTTGATATCTAAGAATTTTGTGCGCTGCAGGCATTTTTTTGAGAAAAAAAAACAAAAACATCCGTTTTGCGCGTTTTTGACCGTTTCGACCAAAAACTGTGTTTCGCTGCACATTCAAAGTATCACATATTAGCCTTCTAGGCGCCTTTCTTCGAATATTATTTGGCAGGCAAAACCTAGAGTACTCAATAATATCAAGGGAATAGAGTACTCAAGGGAATCTTACTGCGTGGTAAGGGTGTCGAGTTTTTTAAGTGCGCTAATTAGATTTGACAAAAAAAATCAAAAACAGAGCTCCCAATTTAGCCAAGCGTCCTTAAAATATTAAACTATCGCTGCACCAAAATTGATAACCAAACTAAAACAAAACGCTTTTGTGAAAACAACTAACTAAATTCATGATTAAAAAACCAAATTAACATAATTTTATAAAATGTAAATCATACTTTGCAGTATAAAGATCATACACATTAACAAAGACGAACATCCAAAGACTAGATGATCCCATCACACTCGACTAAAAGAATGGCTAAACACAACCGACATGCCGTCCACTATCACAACTCAAAGGATTTAGAGTACGACTTGACTTCACAGAAAAGGACTTCATTGAACTAGAACAATGACCACCTCGATGTTCAAGTATACGTACAGATCCGAGTTACAAGGCATCCCTTCCACACACGATCTTCACGCCATTCCCAGACAAAATTGCACACAAAACAAGTTCTCTACATAATACAGAAAAACCTGTCATAGCAAACCATTTTGAAATCGGATTGATTTCATTGGGATCACAGTCGTTGTCGAAGGACGACGTAATAATTTCCTATCCATAATTCCAGCGTCCTGAAACGTTCTTCTCCAAAAGGAACCGGACAAGAAAATAATGTTCGCCTAATACCAAAGTTCATCATCCATCCTTCAAATTGCAGAGAAGAAAGATAGTTCTAAAAAACTCTGTAAACCCCGGATGGGTGGAACTTGATCTAAACTACATTTTATTATTGGATAAATTAGATATTTTACCACTGTAAAATATTTAATATTAACCAATCTTAATCCATCCAACTAACAACCCACTTATTTGTAAGTGCTGAAATTACTTGTATTTTCAGCACCAGAGAGATTTGAATTTAACTTAGAAATTAGTTGCCTCTCCAAGAGAACTTCAGCAGCTGCAATAAGCCAGTATACTCTAGATCTATTGAGCCTAGCAGAGACTAGTTAAACACCCTGAGACTAGTAGATATAAGAGTAAGATTAGGATCGGTATTAGACTAGGAAGTTGCACGAATCTATCAGGCCGAAAATGAGGTAGCGTGACGAGCAGACGGTGTACCCTATCCGAAATTACTCTATGAGTTAACCACATCGGTTCTAACTCATCTGGTGCGACCATAAGTCTCGAATAAGACCTTAATAGCTTAGAATTAACCAAATACAGATTAGAAATTAGACAAAACTTTTTCAAAATGTTATACAATACTAACTTAATTGAAATGTCTCTACGACTCAATAGATCAGAGCCGATATTCCGCACAATACTAGAAGCACCCGGTATTGGAAGAAGACCTCGGACAAGAGACGATATAAGACTACGTAGAAACTTACCATTTATTTTTTTTTTTGGTTGAACGGCAAAAGCCAACACAAACTTTTATATTTAGAATCTTATTAGCAATGAATTTAGATTTTCATTTGCAAACATAAAATTTTGAAGTAAATCTTCATGATCATTTCAGGCGCTAAACAAACTCATTAATGTACAATAACGATTGATAAAAAGATCTCAGATCGTTCACTTAATTTCTGCAGTATTATATAAAACATATTTGAAAAATATTTATTGAAAATAAAAATAAAAATTAGTAGCATGACAATAAATAGTTAGTAATAATAAACCATCTTGTTGTTCCAGCTTCATCACCTAATTATAACAGCAATCATAAGCTCATTAACATCATAAAAAAAACTAAATCTTTTTTTAAATGAATTTAATCAATTTTAAATTTAAATTCACTTAATTTTGAAAATCAGATCATCAAGGCTTATCCTTGGATCTTTATAAGTTTTCTATCTCACTAAATTTAAAATCTGATCATCAAGGCCTATCCTTGGATCAAAAAGAACAATTATGTTCTCTCCCACCCACTTAGCAAGTGTCTAACGACCTCAAACGTCGATTCACTATCCAACCTTTCCAAAAGACCCAGGACTAATAGAAATTTTTAAATAAAACTAACCATTCAAATTAAGTTAAACAGTGAAGAAGTTCGTTTATTCATCCTTCACTTGAACCCTCCTTTCAACAGACCCAGGATAGATCTTAGACTTAGTAAGTTTAAAATAGTATCTAACGAACTACTTGCGTTCTAATTATACCTGAGCCTTGTGGATCGATTTACTATTCTCCAACCCTTGAACACAATCACTACCCCTAAAAAAGATTAAGTAAGTTAACACCTTAATTTAGATTAGCCACGAGAAAGTAGAAAATCATTCTCCGGAATCGATATACTTTTCTCTCCAACCCTGAACAAAAAGACCCAGGTTAAGGTAACCAAAAAATCGTAAGGACTAACAGTCTAGGAAAATAAAAGTAACTAACAACTTCTTGGATCCCTCATCCTAAACCTTATGTCATTCAAAAATTTAGGAAATAAACAAACAATCGTTTTACACAATTGTGAAATAGATAACCAAAATGACGATCTTGTAATCATTCCTCATACACAAACAGTTGGATACATTCGAACAAAACGACAAACAATAAAAAGAAAAATTATAAACAAACAAAGACAAATCACACCAAAAAGATTTTCAAAAAATAGAAACGCATTTTCTGAATCAGAAGCCAAAAGTTTAGACGAACTATACAAATTTAAAAAATCAATAGATAAAAATTGTCCCATTCATGATCAATTATATTTTTCCGACTCAGAAACAACTTCAAATTCATCAAAAAGAGGAAAAAGAAGAATAAAAAAGAAGTATAAACACAGATCAGTACACCTGTATAACTGGAATCAACCAATTAGACACATTGATAGTTATATATTCACAGTCATCAAATGAAAAAATGAGCCACACTCAAAGTGACGAAAGTCCAGATGATGAAGCAGTTTTTCCCTTTCTTAAAGATTCACTCGATGATAGAGGACAAACACGATTTTGTAAGAACTTACTCGTAAATTTGTTTGAACCAGGAATCAGTCCATGCAAAGCAGAATTCCCAGATGTAATCAAAAACCAAATGATTGAACATTATTTGAAAGACATATGTAATCTAACACAACAATACGGAATCTACACCATAGAATTTAGCACACCAAATAGAGCCCATCGTAAATATGTAATTCAAACAGACGATATTGAATTAGAATTTTCAAAAGTATTCATAGAATATATCAAAAGCATACAATATCATAATTCACAAAGAGCAAACTCTATATTCACTAACGAAGTTTTTGCAGAAATATATAGTTATATATCTATATTAGAAAAAACAGAAGTTCAAAGTATATCACCAACCGAAACATCCAAACATACAGAAGTGCGAAATAAAATCACAGTATCAACCTTTTTACATACAATTCGCGAAAATTTTACTAGAGAAGATGTTTCACAAAACACTAAACATGATTTACAAAAGATTTTAGCATGGTTTATAATAGATTATTTCACCCACAATTTAGATTTAATTTCACAAGCAAGAAAAAATTTCAGACCTCAAAATACCAATGACGACACTGTCCTTTCAGAACAATCAGATTACGTTTGGGACCCTGACTGGTCTCATCCAGCATTTCTGAATATTTCACAAGATATCTCGAGTCAAGCAATAAGTACAATATCTTTCCACAGCGATTATGTAAGAGTAATACCATTAACGATTGACGCAACACCATTAAATTATAAAACATTTTTACCTGATACACGAAACAACAGCTTAAATTCAACAGTCATACATAATGAAAATCTCAATGGAACCAAAAATCTTACACAGCAAGAGATTCAAACACCATCACACTTCATAAATGAAGAAATCGTCCAAACAACAGCAACAACTGCACAAAAAAAATATTTCACCAATACACCCCAATCTGACAACACCAAGAAATACAAATACATCACTAACACAAAAAACCTTACAATCAAGCGGTAAACCTTCGGTTGCTCCAAAATATTCAAATATGGACTATCAAACGTATAGACCAATGACAAAACCGACCGTCAAAAACACGAAAAACGTTCACAAGAAACACTTTTGCAGAACACAACTATAATTATGCACACCAACCAAAAACAAATCAACCTCCCCGAAAAACTACACAAAATTTAAATTACGTATGTTCCCATTATTGGAATCTTCCAAAAACATCAACCAATTCAGTAAATTTTCCAGATAATCCACAACCTACACAGGATTATAGTTAAAATTACCCATTTTTTCAACAGAATAAAAATAAACAACATACACCACATAACACAAATTATTTATCATCTGATGATGATGATTATCATAAACCTGATATTTTTGCACCATATACTAAAGAATATCGCACACAGAGACCGCGACAATCTCAACCATCTCAAAATATAAAAATTTACCCATGAAATCCAACAGATATACAAAATCCACAACAAATGCATATACAGAACCCATTTAACGCACAATCTTTTCAACCAATTCAACCACAAAACCCAATGTTAATGCATTCTTATCAACCAACTCAAATGCAAAATGAAATACCGCTTCCTTATTACCTTCAGCAACATGAAATCACAAAAAATCAACTTTCAAATTTTTCACAAATGCCAAATGCCGCAGATGACTCCATACCTCATGGGTGGATCATCAATAACATCG